TTGTGCGGGGAGAAGGGTGCAACAATGAATGAATGGAATCCCAAAATCTCTGTAGATGATCATTGAAATGAAAAATTAAAAAAAAAAAAGAATTATACTGGATGTGTTGGGTTTTTTAAATTTTACTATGTCTTTAAGATTCTAGAGCACTCACAGATAATTTGTCTCACTAACTTTGGGCCTGTTTCCAGGACTAGTTCTTAGAAAGAAACGTTATGCTGGGAAAGGTAGAGGGTCAGAAGAAGAGAGGAAGACTATCAATGAGATAAACAGACACGGTGACCACCACAATGGACTTGAGCATGACAGGGGTCTTGAGGATGGCACAGGAAAATGTGAGGCTCACACCTATTTTTCATTGGATCACAATAAGTCAAGGTCGACTTGACAGCACCTAATAACAACAAGATCATAACTTGATAAATGGAGCACTTGATTATTCTTTTCACTGCTCTACAGTATTTCATGCCACATTCTACTTATCCATTCTCTGTTTCAGAGGTTTAGGTTGTTTTCAGATTTGGTTTTGTTTTTCTGTTTTGAGGATACCTTTATTGTTTGCTGATTTTGTTTCATTTGCTATCACAAATAATATTCCTATAAAAAGAATTGTGATTCTCTAATACATAAGAAGGAGGGATGGGAGAGTGCTCCTGAAGGCCAGGTCCAACAACCTGGCCCTACAGCAGGCCGTGCTCCCACCTTACTCCATGTGGAAACCCTGTGGGCATCAACCACAGTATTCCAACCCTCCTGTGCAGGGAGAAGTGATGGAGGCTGCTGAAGACCAGGGTGCAGGAGAACAAGCCAGTCCAGTGAGACAGAAGATGTATCAGGGTCTTAGACCATGATTTCCCAGGAGCCCTCCTTACTAAAAATCACCCTAGAAAGGATGGCAATGAAGAAGATAAGGAACATCAGGTGAGACCCAAGGTCAGCAGCCACCTCAACATGGGTATCCTCGCAAATTCCATTACCAACAAAGATGCCCAGAATAAACAACAAGATGCCAAAGAAACAAAAGCAGCCAATCCACCAGCTGAGAATTCACTGCTCCTGGCCAACTGACTAGAAGAGATTTGTATTTCCATTCCAAGAAAAGGTGACCCAACAGAGTGTGGAAATTATCAAATAATAACACACTCAAATAAGATCTTGCTGAAGATCATATAAAAAATGATTGGAACAGCACATAGCAGAGGACTGCTAGATGAGTAGGCTGGGCTTAGATGAACTTGTGTCTTGAGGGACATAATAGCCGTGTTAGATGGATCTTGGTCAAAAGCAGAGAGTACTAGAGGAATGTCTGTGTTTCATTGACTAAGATATTTGACTTTGTGGATCACAACAAATTGTGGCTATTCTTCAGAAGAATGGGGATCTCAGAACACTTAATTGTGCTCATGCAAAACCTATACTTGGACCAGGAAGCAGTAGTCAGAACAGAGCAGGGAAACACTGCATGGTACAGGACCAGGTGTGTGTCAAGAATGCATTCTATCTCCATACCTTTTCAATCTATATACAGAACAGATCATTCGGGAGGCTGAACTTTTTATGAGAAGGAATGTGGCATCTGGGTTGGAGGAAGACTTATCAACAACCTGCGTTATGCATATCATGCAACCTTGCTTGTTGAAACTGAGAAAGACATGAGGCGTTTGTTGCAAAAGGTCAAGAACAATAGTCTTCAATATAGGTTGAAGTTCAACAAAAAAATTCTTACCACTGGATCAATTGGCAGCTTCATGATAGATGGAGCAGAGATTGAGATTGTTAATAACTCAGCTTGCTTGGCTCCACAATCAGCACTCTTAGCACCAGCAGTCAGAAAATTAAAAGATTAATTACACTGGGGGAATCTGCTGTCAGGAACCTCTCTAGAGAACTGAAGAGTAATGATGTCAGTCTGGAGACTAAGGTGCACCTGATACGGGCCATGGTCTTCTCAATTACTTGCTATGCACCAGAGGGCTTGACGATGACTAAGGATGACAGAAGAATTATGCCTTTGAGTTGTGGTGCTGGAGAAAAGTCTTGAACATACCATGGACCACCAAGAATAC